CACAGCGCGGCCGCGTCTCTGTCTGTCCCGCGCGCGAGGGAGGGAGACCGCCGCCCTGGACGCGCGGCCGAGGACGCCGTCGAGCGTGACCCCCGCCCCTGCGCGCCGCCCGCGCCCCTCCCCGACGCGACGCGCGCTTCCGCGGGAACATATGCCACGACACCGGTGTACCTCCTCGCTCTCTCTTCCTCTCTCTCTCTCTCTTCCTCTCTCTCTCTCTCTCGCTCGCTCGCGGGCGGACGCTGTCCCTCCCGTCCATATCTGCTGCGTGTTGCGCCCAATGCTCGTCCGGTGCTCGTCTATTATGGCTTGGCCCGCGCAAAACTATAACGGCACTTGGGCCCGCGCTGTCCACTGTTAAAAAATCCTACAGGAAATTCTACAGTTTGCCCTGTCAATTTGTCGCTACGGTCGCGACTGTAATTTTTGATTACAGTCCACTCTGTACAGGATGTACTGTAACTTCGCAAACCGCCTTTTTGGTCAACACAGCACTTGACTTCACACTGAAGTACAGCCCATATCATAACAGTCTGGCCTGTACATAAAATATACAGGACGGACTGTAGTCAAACTGTAATTCCTTACAGCATTTTTAACAGTGTCCTCTTTTCCTCTCTCTCTCTCTTTTTATTTGTGGCTTATGAGAGTGCTTTACGGCGTTATTTTGCCAACACCGCACAGCGAGCGCGCCCCACTTTCAACCTCTTTATTATTTTTATTGAACAGCAACAACCGTAAGTTTTCCTTGTTGTTTTTGTTCGTTCAGTTTATAACACCCGCCACTCCTGTCGTGAATTTTGGTGACGTCGAGTTTCTTTCTTTTTTTCCCCTCGTTGCTGCTCTCGTTCGGGGCGTCGCCACCACTGCCCTTATCACTCCCCCCCCCCTTTCCCCCGCAACCTGTGGCGCTGCGCTTTCTCACGCCGAGGCGGGGCGGCACTATACCCGCCAGTTATGTATTTCCTCCGTAATGAGAGATCGCGCTGATACGCCCACCTCCCTCACTCTCTTTCCCCCGTTCCCCCTGTAGTATCTGTCTCTCTCTCTCTCTCCCTCTGTGTTCCCTCCTAGCGCGCCACCGACCGGAAGTACCCGAGCAGAACCGGATCTCGCCACCGGAATTTGGCGCCCGCGTTCGAAGCGGGATATACCAATTTCTGCGGCGACGAGACGAGGTGTCATCATCTCGATTGATGCTTCTCCTCGGGCGGCGTACCAAACTCTCGGCTTGTTACCGCAAATGAATGGGCGTTGTGCGTGTTTTCATGGGGGTAGGAGCCACCTAAAGACAGTGCGACCACGACGCCGCAGTCAGTTCTCCCCCCC